AAGACTAAATATAATTTAATTATAAAACTGATTACACAGATGTAGATTAATTTACGAGACAAATCTATAAAGTATAATTAGTCCATCATTAGCATATGTTTATTGTATGTATTATCAAATCATAGACTAATTAGGCTTAATAGATTTGTCTCGCAAATTAGTCTTCATATGTGCAACTAATTTTATAATTTTTTTTAAAAAAACTAGTTTTATAATTAGTCTATATTTAATAATAGAGTAGTGTCAAAAACATTTGACGTTTCCGAGATAGTCCTCGAACCAAAACCCCCGGCACAATATTCAAAATCATGCCGTGGTGGCAGTGGCATACAGGCATGTAGCATGGTATCTCACCAATCCTGCAGCCAAAAGCCAAGCAAGGCGTCAAGTCAAGCTCACCGCAACTACACGCAAATTTACCTTCCTTGCATACCAAGTTTGCGCTACAGAACTGGGGGTATATATATATAGCCCTTGTTTAGTCGGGTGAATTTGGATTTTAGGTTACTGTAGCACGCTCGTTTTTATTTGTTAAATAGTGTTCAAACATGGACTAATTAGGCTCAAAACGTTCATCTCGCAATTTCCCACCAAACTATGCAATTAGTTTTTATTTTCGTCTACATTTAATGCTCTATATATGGGCCACAAACATTCGATGTGACAGATACTGTAGCAACTTTTTGAACTTTAGGGTCTAACTAAATAAGGCGACAGTCTATGACTATAACTCTCTCTGGGAGTAGTACACAAACGCAACTACAAGAGAGACGGGCAACTGGGCAAGGGAAAAATACACTCTCTCTATAGCTATAGGCAGGCTCTTGAGGAACTCAGAGAGAAGAGCAAGAGTGAGAAACAGGAGATAAACAGGAGATATGGCGTCCATGATAACAGGAGATTTCGTGGAGGCCTACGTACGGAAGAACGCCTGCAAAGAGGAGATAAGGAGGGCAGAAGCGAGCACCGCTGGCGGAGTGGCGGCGGCACAAGGAGACAAGAAGGCCGGCGCTAGTGCATCGTCGGAGAAGAAAGCCGCCAAAGAGGCTGTAGCTGGTAGCAACAAGGGAGAAGGAGGCAGCAGCCTCTTTGGGCTGATGAAGAAGAAGGTTCATGCCAAAGTTGGCGGAAGTACAGGAGCTTCTTCTTGAGCTCCTGTAGATGCAGCAGCAGCTACTAGCTACTGATGCACCTGTTAGGCATCTGCGTGGCTGCAGCCTGCAGGCATGCATGGAATTTCAGAATTTTACTCCTGTCCATCTTGAAGTCAAGTGGTTTCAGTTCAGACTTTCGGCTAAGATAGGCCTTCTGTTACTCTAGGCTGTGTTTAGTTTTAGGAAGTTGGAATTTGAGGCTATCGTAGCACGTTCGTTTTTATTTGACAAATAGTGTTCAAACATGGATTAATTAGGCTCAAAACGTTCGTCTCGCAATTTCCCACCAAACTATGCAATTAGTTTTTTTTTCGTCTACATTTAATGCTTCATGCATGGGCCGCAAACATTCGATGTGATAGGTACTGTAGCACTTTTTGAGATTTTGGCTTCAAACTAAACACGCGCTTAATTTCCCTTTCCTCCTCCTTGAATAAGAAGCTTGCAGGGCAAACCATGCATATGTACCTGTTTGTTTGATAGAGATGGACGAAAATAGGGAAAATAAAACGGACCAGTTCCTTTTCTCCATCTTTATTTGGTTCTACATAGTCCAATGTTTGCTACTGATATTTCCTCCCTACTACATGCTAATTACAGATTCCAAATCTTGCTCCTCTTTCGACGCTAGGCTTCCAAAGCTAGGTCTGGTTTAAAGCTAGGTCTGGTTTAGTTCTCAAAAAATTTCACCTCAAATTATCACATCGAATCTTGCGGCATATGCATGGAGTATTAAATATAGACGAAAAAAAAACTAATTACACAGTTTAGTTGGAAATCACGAGATAAATATTTTAAGACTAATTAGTCCATGATTAGCCATAAGTGCTACAGTAACTAACATGTGTTAATGATGAATTAGTTAGGCTTAATAAATTCATCTCGCAGTTTCCAGATGAGCTATGTAATTAGTTTTTTTATTAATATCCGAAAACTCCTTCTAACATCCTTGAAACATCCGACGTGGCATCAAAAGTTTTCATTTGGCGAAGTAAACTTTAGCTGACAACGCATGCAGTGTCTCACAAGTTCCAACCAGAATACTATGAATATGCAGAGTGTTTGACACTTGGACAGCGTGAGACGAAGGCTCCCACGCGGCGACATTTGTCCTCTGCGCAGCAGTACTTATCGCGTGTTCAGTTGCTACCCCAAATCAAAAAAAGCTCTACAGTACCTATCACATCGAATCTTACGATACGTACATAGAGCATTAAATGTAGACGAAAAAAAAACTAATTACACAATTTGGTTGGAAATTGCGAGACGAACGTTTTAAGCCTAATTAGTCCATGATTAAACACTATTTGTCAAATAAAAATGAACGTGCTACAGTAGCCCAAATTCCCAAATTCAGGGAACTAAACACGCTCTTAAACTACGCATATATATAGGAGACTAGTATAACAAAGTCATCCGTCAGGAAATCGAGCCCAGTTGGCTGTCGGCCGCTTCATGCAACGCTTACGACAGTCGACGATAAATAATTATGAGTGCCTAATTAATGGTCATCTACGGTATAATCTACTCGATCGTGTCTGCCGAATTCTGCGGAACCCCCATCGCGTTGGCTTTTGCAGCACCAGGTCTGCAGTCTCCCATGCAAATGCTGGATTTTGCTCGATCTTGTTGGGTCCGACGTTCAGTGTCGGCTTGCCGAATATGTGGTACCATCCCACGACAACTTCTTTTCCGCCATGGGCCTGTCCCGGTTACGGACGGGCCTCTTTTAGCCCAAGTCTGGAAGCGAAGTCCGTTGTTCTAATTTGCCAAGAAGAATTTTATTGTTTTCGGAGTACATAGCCAGCAGAGTAAAACTCGCGCAATTGCATGACTAGTCTAATACGAAGTACAATTTAGCATTCACTACATCTTACAGTTTTACTTTATTTCTCATGCTTTTATATCAATGGCATTAGTAATATTTATTGTGACTAAAAGTAACTGCTCTGTCACCAACGGTCTAAATTATACATCTTACTTTGTCGCTTCGTCAATGCCATAACTTCCGGTTATATTTTAGGCAAAATAATCGGTAATGCTTCTTATCCACTCACCTCTGGCCATCGTAGTTTTCCAAAAAAAACAAAAAGAAAAAACTCACCGTAGTGCCGTGAGCATGCGACCGTGCGTGCTCCGCGGCGCATCCCGCCCGCCATCTCCAGCGTGCCTCTTGCCCGCCTTCTCCCCACTGCACCTCCCTATCCACTGCGCGCTCCCGCTCACCTTCATCTCCGTCACGCCTCTCTCTCCACAGTGCCTCCTTCCTGCCTACTCCACCAGAGCGACCAGCTACGGTCTTCTCCCCGAAAGATTTGCATATGAGAAAGAAAAGAACGTACATTGAAATCCATGTAACTGGCGTGCATTTCAAGCCATTTCTGATCCATCAGAGTGTTGCGTGTCGTGTGTCGTTTCATTAACTATAAGTATACCCCACGTGTTACAGCGATGTTTTCTTAAAAATAAATCTGTTATATACGTAGCATTACTATATGGTATTATGTATACTGTGTATATATATGAATTTGACTGGCATGTTATTCTATTATATCAGATCGGGTAAAAAATGGGTAAACGAATAGAAGGAAAACCAATAGAATATTTGATTACATTGAGGAACAGGTGATAAAAACAAATAACGTATGCAGATGACTTGTATGTTAATAGATTAAAGATTAAAAGTATTGCACGTAATAGAGATGATGTGAATATTTTATGTAATTAATAGTGAAGAATGATGTGGACACCTTGCATGAAGAGATAAAACATCTAGTGGGGTCATTTAGTGGGAAATGATGTGAACACCTTGTATGAAGAGAAAAATCATTTAGTGTGGTTTAGCTTTATAAGAGTATATAGATAGGTGAAAACATGAATGTGCTTAGCTTTTATCGAAAGCTAACATCTAACAATGCCTCTAGAGGCTCTCACACAGGTGAGGATTTTAAATTTTTTGGACAGGTTCATCATAGGGAACTCAACCAACTGATCTATGGTCAGTTCGCTGGGATAGTAGAATTGTGTGTGTAAACAAATATAGGATTCAGATCCGTGCACTCTTTTTTTTTTTTGTGTGGTGGTGTGGCTAAAATGGAACATCGCATGAAAGTGATAAGAAAGCACCGAGTAACAGGGACGCACAACGGCACAAGCTGTTGGGAAAGAGCTTGAAGGGATACACGGTAAAGGGCTAGAGGTATACATGTTCGTTTTTGTTTTTGTATTTGTAGTTGTGTAACCTGTGCTGCGCGTATGCGGTTTTACACATATCATGTGCGGTTTGATTTCTTATTCATACTTGAATGAGCCTTTCCCATTATTTTCACTTAGAAAAAAAAGTTAGATTGGCCTAACAGGGCTTCACTGGATTTAACCAGATTTGCACATTACAATTTCAAAAAGTCATGCTCTAACTTAGCTTAGCTCTAGGATCCAAACAACAATGGAGGGTCTTTTAGGTTATTTTTGCGTAATTGCAATGTTGGGTAATTTATCCACGTGTATAGGTCACTTTAATTTTATTTTATTTTAGTAATTTATAGAGCTTGAGAATTAACGTGGCCTGTGTCGGCTCTCCCGTGGCTTCCCAATTTGTTCCGTGTCATCGTCAACGAGTAATAATCCAACGAGGACTCCACTGTAACACTGCCAATCAAGCAATGAGTCTAATTCTGCCGGCTGATAAATCCACGGGAATTTGGTGTCTGGTGCGGCTACGGCAGCTCGGCGAATGGCAGTTATTACACGGGCGTTCTGCGCTGAGCCCAGAGAGGCAACAGATACAGCGAGACACAGACACCGGATCCCGTCCGCCCCCGGACCAAGAATCCCAACCTCGCAGCGATGGCAGTGGCAGCGTCCCGCCGCGAGGACCGTGATCGGAATCAGCCAGTGGTGCTTGTGACGGGGTGCTCGGAGGGCGGCATCGGCCACGCGATGGCGCGCGCCTTCGCGGCGGCCGGGTGCGCCGTCGTGGCCACGGCGCGGTCACGCGGTTCCATGCGCGACCTCGACGGCGCCCCGCGGTTCCTGCTGCTGGAGCTCGACGTGCGGTCCGAGAGAGCGCGCGCGCCGCCGTGGCGGACGCGCTGCGGGAGCACGGCCGCGTCGACGTGCTCGTCAACAACGCCGGGATCCACCTCGTCGCGCCACTCGCCGAGGTGCCCATGGAGTCCTTCCACCAGGTTTTCGACACCAATGTCTATGGTAGGATTAAAAAAATGTTTTTTTTTGTTCTGCTTGCTGTCTACTGCCTTGTTTGCTGTTTTGGTATGATTGCCTGATTGTGATGTTCTCCAATAAAGACAAGATTTTGGATCCTGGAATCTGAATTAGGCAATTAGAGGTTAATAAAGGAGTCGAGAGGTTTTTTATTAGATCTACCTAAGGGCATTTTGGTTTGATTATAGAGACAAAAACAGAGAATTAGGAATAGCTTTATGGACGTTGTTTGAATGAATGATTTAAATTTCTGCAAATAGCGAATTTTATTTCCTAACTCGGGGAACTCAGTAGAGTGCTATATTAATTTCGTGCTTGTTAGCGAGATAGTTGGTTTAGATTTGGGTCATCCTCGAGTGTGTTTAGTTGTGCATGATTCAATGGTAAATCATATACAGCAATGGGTTATGTAGTCAGATTCCTATGACTGTGAAAAGGGATCTGTTGGGCATACCCAATGCAGAGAGCTCCGGCTCTGTGCGGGGTCTGGGGAAGGGTGTCAGTGGCAAGCCTTACCCTCGCCTGTGCAATGCGAGGAGACCGCGACTCGAACCCGGGACCTTCCGGTCACAGACGGTAAGACTCTACCGCTTGCACCAGGCCCGCCCTTCTGTTGCATCCAGTAAAATCTGCTGAACCAGTGAAGTCAGCAGTTCAATTAGAACCCTTCTTCAGTCATCATTGGCAATACCTTGTGCTTAAAATGCATGATCACAGTAACAAGTGCAGGTTTGATATGATGCTTGATAGGAAGGTAAATGGAGTAATGAAAATTGTCTCACGGATTATGAACCCACTGAATCTATCTTTTAGAATGATGTGAAGGACTACCTCTTGAACTCATTTATTGAAGTGTTTGGGAGGATGCAAAGCACAGAATTGCTAACTAGTTTTGCTACTATCTCATCATGGAGATTAGTCGTCATCAACCAAAGTGACTGAATATAATATTATAATTCCAACTTATTACTTAAGCTAGTTGAGCTGTTGGAGAATTGAGTACCTTGTTACCTTTAGTTGATGTGCTTGGATGGTTCACACTTTACTTCTTTGCTGATACCATTATGTTCACAAGTTCTGTTACAGTTTTTTTTAAAAAAATTGCAGACAGGAGGTCTTTCTTAGAACTTAAGTAATATCTTTACAGATAAGTGCATCAACAGATTCAGGGAAGTTTGAAAAGAAAACACGACTCCCACTAAACCTAATAGCTAGTTGAGTTAATTCATGTGCTATTTTATTCTGTGCTCTCCCAGTCTTCCTGTAACTTTTTCTGGATCAGGGGCATCACCATGGATCTGTCATGGAATATTGCCTTCAGCTTCTGTACTACTTTGACCGTGAGACACTCGGCCTCAAGGATATTGGTATCTCTGGCCATTGCGCCGCCAGACAGACACCCTCCAGGCTAGCAGCTGCCTCAGTTTCTTCAGCATCCCTACAGTGAAACAAAATTTGCCATGCTGCTAATTTGGCCTGACCATCATACTCCTTCGACAAACCCAACTTATAAGCACAAAAGTCTTCCCTGGATTGCATGTATGCACTAGAAGGCAATAAGAGCATTGTACCTTATCAGTCTTCCCGGGATAAAGGCACTTTGTTTTGGGGAGATGATAATGATATCCTCAAGAAAAGGCCTAAGACGATTAACCAAGTGCTTAGAGATTACCTTGTATATCATGTTACACAGACTGATTGGTATGAAATCTTTTTCTTCTGGATTCTGCTCCTTGGGAATGAGAACAATAGCTGTGTCCTTGATACCAACTGGAAGGTGCCCATCAGAGAAGAATTTTTGGACTGCTGCAACAACATTCTCTCTCATCAGATCCCAGTGTTTCTGAAAAAAAAAACATGCTGGGAAACCATTCAGACCTGCCGCCTTCAGAGGCCCCATCCGAAGTAATGCATTTGAAATTTCCTCAGCTGTGAAATCCCTGCACAGCTCAACATTCATATTGTCAGAAATCCTTGTATCAATTAAATCAATGAGCTCACAGCTCACTTGGAACCACTTTTGGATTGCCAGTGTACAACAACAACAACAAAGCCTTTAAGTCCCAAACAAGTTGGGGTAGGCTAGAGTTGAAACCCAGCAAAAGCAATCAAGGTTCAGGCACGTGAATAGCTGTCTTCCAAGCACTCCTATCTAAGGCTAAGTCTTTGGGTATATTCTATCCTTTCAAGTCTCCTTTTATTGCCTCTACCTAAGTCAACTTCGGTCTTCCTCTGCCTCTCTTCACGTTACTATCCTGGTTTACCACTTTTGGATTGCCAGTGTACAGAGACCTGAAAAAAAAAATCCAGGGCCTTGCCACTGATTGTCACACCAATCTCCCTCTTCTGTTTTAAGCTTTTTTATCTTGTTTTTGTAGGCTCTCCAGACTGCATGCCGGTGAAAATAACTTGTGGTCCGGTCGCCTTCCTTCATCCAAGGAATGTGAGGCCGTTGAAGCCACATCATTATCTGTAAACCTGCGCAGATCACCCTTACTGTATTGTGGATTCGTTTTCATCTCTTCAAATTTTGTATGCAAATCATTTAAGTCTTAAGGCACAGTTCTGAAGTTCTCCTTACTCCATGAACATAGAGCTCGCTGCACATGCTTTAAAGCTGCCACAATCCCTCCGAGCCCTTCTCTAATTGGATCAGTACACCACGCATTCTTTATCTCAATAGCTAGTGACTCTAGGCACTCCCACATAATCTCATATCTGAAAAATCTTGGTTTATGCTTTTCCAACTCTCTTTCCTGATTTCTAACAGAAGAGGACAATGATCTGACCACGAGGAGACCAGATGGTGAAGAGTAGTATATCCCTCCAACCCGTGTCAGCCACTGCTCTATCCAATCCCACCTTTACATTTGCGTACCCATCTTGACTGGTGATGTATGTAAAAGGGAGCCCCACAAACCCCAAATCAGTAAGCGCGAAAGGCCGCCATCTGACTCTCTGGACGGTCACAAACCAGGAAGTGATCATAGCCCCACATAACTTCATTGAAATCACTGATCAAAAGCCAAGGGACCAAAGAGGCGCCATATTAAATCCCCGTGTTGTGCCTCCGTCCTGTGCTCTCTATATACAAAGGTGATTGTGAACCAAGGGGATGTAGAGTTCTCAGTTTCTCACAGACATGTATGGCAATAAAACGTCTGTGTTTTTCAATCAGCAACACCGACTCATGCCAAAAACAGGGCCAGGCCACAACCTGTACCAACACTTTCAACAGTAATACAATGTTTAATACCCAATCTCCACCTAAAATTTGCTACTCGGTCACCTTTAGTGCGTGTTTCTTATAAGAACACCAAACTCAGTTTTTTTTTGTGCTTTGAACAGAGCGACAAGCTCTTGAACTGTCCGAGGGAGCCCTACGGACCTACCCCTCGGCAGTTTAAGCAGTTCTGAGCGACAAGCTCTTGAACTGTCCAGGGGGTTAACTGGGTTACCAGACACCGAGTTCCTGCTACGCTTAGACACATTCACAGATATTCTTGAATTGACACTCCCTTCTTATCAATGTTGAATTCCAACATGCCATGCTTTCCAGAAAAGCTTAGATTGTCCCTCGCCATCATAGTATTCTGCTGCTCAGTCTTTCGGAGACTTGGCTCCAAAATGTCTCCCCTGTAAACAGCAAGTCTTTGAGTTCATCCACTGTTCCACATCCATAGTATATCCACATACCTGTACACTTTCCATTCCACAAATAGTTTAGTAATAGGTTTCTCCCCATGCACAAGCTCTGTCAGAACCAGGAGGATATACAACACTTCCCAGCGAATATGGTTTCTCTGTAACTTTCACTCTCTCCTGACCCCTCATAGATTATTACCTAAGAACCCTGTAACTCCCTCTTTAATTTTGGATTATTACCTGTAAATGCCTGTACCACCACCTTCTCAAGAGGCATCTGAGACGTGAAATTCGCTCTCTTCATGACCTTCACTAATCCCAACAATGGAGCTAGATTCTGAAAATCTTTCCTGAACCAGATCAGGCGGTTCCTTGTATCCATCATTAGCAAGAATCGGTATACTAACCTTCAGATTATGTAGACTCTGGCGGAGAGCTTGTATGCAGACTGCAAGGTTGTATGCACTGTTGGAGACTGCTATGACTCTGGCTCCAGTTTCACTTTGGATTAGGATCTTTGTGTTATGACGGGGGATGCTGACTTCTATTGGCCTGGATTTCTGTAGGATTCTGGTTTCATGGATTACAGGGAATTGATTTGTGGAAGGGGGGTTTTAGTTTGTTGCAGAGAGGGCTTGGGAGCAGAAGCGTCGTATTCATTTGTGTTAGTATCGAAAAGGGAATTGTCTGATTCTCACAAGTTCTGTTACAGTATTGGTTTGATTTCTAGATAACTTGAACCCCTTTTCACTATATATAGGTGCAATGAGGTTGATTCAAGCTGTTATTCCTCACATGATGGAGAGAAGGAAAGGTACAATTGTGAATGTTGGAAGTATTACCGCTTTGGCACCTGGACCATGGGCTGGTGTGTATTCAGCATCCAAAGCTGCTCTTCATGCATTGAGTGACTCACTGAGGTTTGTGAATTGAAGTATTACCTATTCTTATATTGACATTTTGGTACTTGCTTAAATTCTATAACTTGGATTGGAAGACATCAGAAAAGCTTCCAAGTTCCAAGTGTGAGTGTGTGGCTACCTTAAGGGGTAATAGGCAAGTCGTATATAGGTTATAGGCTTAAGAATTAGGACATCGCTTCTAAATACCCTGTTTTAAATGAATTAGGATATTACTTCTAGATACCCTGTTTTTGAAGAATTAGGATGTTGTTTCTAAACACCCTGTTTTAAATGAAAAAACTTTGGATTTAACTGTTGTCAAATACAGAACAGCTAGTAGCGTCACATATTCTTTAGTGTTTATGTCTTGATGCAATTGCTTTATCACTGGTCTCAAGTATCACATCAGATAATTTGATCATGTGGCAATATACTCAACAAGTCAACAACACATGCAACATATGTCAGTATCCAAATTTTGTATTTTTACTACATGTCCTGTTCTTGTGCTGTTAAGTCTTTTCAATTTGTTACCTTAAGGTTTGTGGCTTCTTTTTCTTTATTTCTTTCTTTCATATTTGCCATCCTCACTTGATACAAACTCACTTCACTGTAGGGTTGAACTAAAAAGCTTCGGCATAAATGTCATGACTGTCGCCCCAGGAGGGACAAAGTCGAATCTTGGGAATTCCTCTGCAGCCAAGTATGATCAGACGCATGATTGGAAGTACTACAAGAAATACGAGGAAGGGCTCCGAGCCAGGACAGAGATTTCCCAGGGCCCCGGGTCTACTCCAGCAGAAGAGCTTGCAAAGAAGGTGGTTGCATCGGTTCTAAAGAAGAACCCTCCAGCTTGGTTCGCTTACGGCCAGTTCTCTGCTATTCTGTCCGTTTTGTATTATGCACCACTATGGTTTAGAGATTACTTCTATAGGCTTGTGATGAAATGTTAGTCCCTGGAAGAACAATGGTTGTATGGACCAAAGAGAGAGCTGGTCAGTCCCAGTTCTGTTCATTGTACTGACAGCCTGTTACTACGTACTCCTATATTGGTAACCACAAAAAATCATACACGTTATACGGACAGCTCTTTTTTTTCAAGTGAAAAAGCTCTCATGTTGCTGTATCATATCATGGTTGTGACAGTTGCGAACCAACGATACTGCATGTGAATAACTAGGTGCTTTGTTGATATCCATGGGCCAAGAGCCCAAGAAGTATGCTATCTACCTGTTGCCAATATAGGAGTACGTATAACGTGTATGATTTTCTGCAAGTATAACATGTATGAAAAAAAAAGTTGCCAATATAGGAGTACGTATAACGTGTATGATTTTTTTCGCTTACGGACAGCTCTTTTTTTTCATACACGTTATACGTCTTATGCTATGTACCTGTTGCCAATACACATTAGAAATATCCATGGGCTGTTTTTTTTTTCTTTGCAAGTTAGAAATATCCATGGGCCAAGAGCCCAAGAAGGCCTGATGAGGCTGTTTTCTCTCAAAGGAATCACGAAACTCTGTCAAAGTGACATGTCATCACCGGTTAAACAGACCACTAACTGCCACTCTGCCACAGGAGAGACTTGACACCAGTAATTATCGGCCTGTTCGCTTAGCTTATAAGCCGTATTTTTTCAGCCAACGAACAGTATTTTTCTCTCACAACAAATCAGCCAAGAGTACTTTCAGAAATGGCTTATCAGCCAAGCGAACAGGGCATATATGGCGCTCGCATCCGCCTTCTCCTTTAAATTTTCTGTGGAAACTGACCTGTTGAGAAATGATTCTCTGACTGAAAATATTTCTCCTATAATTCTGTATGACAGACACTATGCATACATTGGCTCTATACGTGGAGTGAATTAGAAGAAGCTAGTTTTTTTCTATTCCTAGTCTCTAAATCATTTTAGAGAATCACCTCACAAAATCAGTGTACAAACTCTAAATAAAACTGTTTGGCATTTCTAGATTTGGCCTACCCAACAAAATGGATATTTACTGATATTTGTCCGTCCCGAGGCGGTCAAAAACCTATATGGATATTCGTACTGCATTCCAATTCAAATAGTTAAAATCGGATTTCTGATATGTATGTCATGATCTATATCCAGTTTTGAGATCTGGGAAAAAGATACGAGAAAGAATACGGAATTCATCCCTACTACTACTACCAGGGAGTACCCTGCTAGTTGCATCTATACGAAAAGTTTGGTACGAAGCGTCATCCTTAAATGAGCAGCAGGAGTATAGTCGGTCACGAGCAAGATTATTTATACTCTTGTTTATTTGATCGCACTGAAGCCAAGAAAATGTGTCAGGGTGTACCGAACTGGCGCTTCTTCTGCTACCTTGGAACGAGCAAACTAAGCCTGGTTTAGTTCTAAGGGCGCGTTTAGTTCCCAAATGTTTTTGGGTTGGGCTACTATAGCACTTTTGTTTGTATTTAGTAATTAGTGTCTAATTATAGACTAATTAGGTTCGAAAGTTTTGTCAAGCGGTTTCTCACTCAACTGTGCAATTAGTTTTTTTTGTCTACATTTAGTACTCCATGCATGTGCCGCAAGATTCGATGTGACACTTTGGGGTGAAAATTTTTAGAATCTAAACAGAGCCTAAGTCAAAACTTTACGCCTAATACATCGAATGTCTGACACATATATAGAATATTAAATATAGACTAAAAAATAACTAATTGTATAGATTGCGACTAATTTACGAGACGAATCTTTTAAGTCTAATTAGTCCATGATTTGATAATAAAATGCTACAGTACACATGTGCTAATGACGAATTAATTAGGCTTAATAAATTCGTCTCGCGGTTTACTAACGGACTCTGTAATTTATTTTTTTATTAGTATCCAAATACCTCGTTCAACACCCCATATAACATCCAATATAACACCCAAAACTTTACATCCCGAAACTAAAGGCCAATGTTTATCCTGTTGAACCGACTAAAATTCGATTATACATGCATGGCAGAGATACGCATGTTGGTGTTGCATGCGACTCCCTTTGCCTTCACGAGTCTTTAGTCTTCACCCAACCAAACTTATTCAAGGTGAAGTGACTGTGGTACGGACCTGTTTAGTAGAGTTTGTTTTAGTTTTAACTTTTTAATTTCTGATAGGGTGATTTTAGTTGATTTTTATAGTAGAGAAGGGTAATATGCAGATGAAAATTGATTTTATAGTGATTATGGTAAGAGGATTGAGAAGGGAGCGTTAAGGAACAGATTTTTTTTAGCTTCTTCGGTCTAAATGGAAAAGTGATTACACTCTCTCCATCAAAATCTGTTTACCCAAGGATAAGTGATTCTCACGGACAATCTGCTCCGAACAACGCTGCCAAACCACCCCTGCATATGATTCATACGCTCCAGATAAGAAGTTCTTCCATCATCTTTGAAAATACAACTTCAAACAAACCGGACTTAGTAGCTTGCTTATGACTCACCAAACTTGAACTGAAGTTGAGGAAATAATTAAGCAGGCATAAGTAATCAGCATAGCACTTCACTTCTAGACTTATACTACGATTCTAATAGCCGGAGGAGTAGTCACTCATGTCCACGACGTCAGCGATTCCCAGAAGACTGTGAAGCATGTCGTGCCACCGCGCTGTAAACCTCCTTGGTGCATGCTGTCGTGCGCCACCGGCGCAGCTGCCTGCGTGGTCACACCGACGGCGGCGACACCGCTATGCTGCCCTCCGTCCGGGACTGGCGCCACCGCGTTCTTCGCCTCGTGCTCGCCGTCGTCGTCGTCGTCGTCGGTCCCCTGCAGGCAGCGGTAATAGAGCTTCATGAGCTCGTCGATCGAGCTGCGGTCAGCATCGGGCACGCAATCTATGTCTGGCAGCGCCAGCAACTCCTTGCCGACGTCGAGGCCGCAGCTACTACTACCCGTGCCCCTCTCGCCGCCGACCTTGCGCTTGCGCTTCTCGACGTGCGCTGCCGCGGCTAGTGGAGAATCACCACCACCAGCGTCGTCGTCGTCGGGGCTACCGTCATCGTCCTCCTCCTCCTCGTCGAGCGGCGTGATCTGCAGCGCGCGCTGCGCGTGGCGGTCGAGCGCCTCCTCCCGGGTGATGACCTTGTGCTGCAGCCGCTTGGACTGCCACACAAGCTTGCGCATCTGGTCGAAGCGCGGGGCCAGGTGCTTGATCACCGCGCTCAGCAGCGAGATCTTCCAGGCCTTCTTCAGGTCGTGGGGCTTCCGGTACGGCGGCGGGCCCTGGTGCGCCTGCGCCTCGCCCTGCATGCCCCACCAGGCCTCCCGCCCCGTCGGCCACCACGGCGGCGCCAGGCCGCGGTCCAGCGGGAAGCTCCGCTGCGGGGGCTCGCAGTGCTGGATGAGCGCCGACAGCAGGGACCCCAGCGTGCTGTCCTGGATGTCGTGCAGGCCGTGGAGGAACGACGCCAGGGGCCGCCCTCCGCCTCCAGGCCGCCGCCGCCGGCGGCGGCCACGGACAGCGCCATCGGGCCCACCCGGTCGAAGCCCACCTCGTCCTTCCACCAGCCGCGGAGGCTGTTGGAGGAGCCGGACACGGGCACGCCGGTCTCGTCCACGACGCCGTACACGAACCCCGCGCGTTGCACGCCTCCATCATCTTGAGCATGTGGCGGATGACGCCGTCCTGCGCCCGGAGCATCGCCTTGCGGCGGTACCGGCTCTCGGGCGACTCCTGCTGATCCTTGTTGGCCTGCTGGACCAGGGCAGCACGCAGCAGCAGCAGAGGCCGAGTGGTCGTCAGTGCCGGGCTGGGGCTGGAGCTGGGCCTCACCGTCGTGGCCGGCGCGGTCGCGGCCGGCCGAGCGGCCCTCGAGCTTCATGAGAAGCAGCTGGTCCTTCCACATGCGCTTGGCGCTTCTTGAGGTCGGCGATCTCGATGGACTCGGAGCCCGACTTGGAGTCGCTGAAGAACTCCTCCTGGCTTTCCGGTTGTTCCTGGTCAGCGGCGCCGGCATGGTGGTCGGCAACGGCAATGGCCTTTCCCTTGCCCTTGCCGTCGTCCTTGGGTTCGTCCATGGTCGTTGGCTTGTTGGGAGCATGACAAGGCTTCTGATAGTAGTCGATACTTTCGCAGTTCTCCATGATAATGTGGCTACCGTGTAAGTACGTGTAGTGATGCTACGGGATTGGAGTGACTGATGATGATATGACGGAGAAAGGTGGTGGGGCACACCGGCAACACTCGAGCTCGCCCTGGCGTGTTTGATGTTGGGACTAAAGTTTAAGGAGATGTCGTATCGCGTATTTACATATTAATTAAAGAAACTAAACATAAATCTAATTAGATTTAATAGATTCGTCTGGTAAATTAGTCTCAATCTATGCTATTAGTTTTGTAATTAGTTTACGTTTAATATTTTAAATTAATATTAAACATCCGATGTGACATGTAATCAATTTTAGTTGGCAAAAAAAAAAAAAGTCCCGCGGAGTCTCTCCGTGGCGCGGAGAAGGTTGCAGAAGAACGCTCGCCGTGGCAGCGCCTCGGAGGCGGAAGGGCTGCCGTGCGTCGCCTTTGTTAGGTACTCCTACGCACTGCAAATTGATTACTACTAGCGTGCACGTGCAAGGCTAGTGGCTCTCGCATCACTTTACCCTTGCTGCCCATGCAAATCACTTGTAGCTGCGTACGTACGACGTGGATGGTCATAAACCTCACAAAGAAACCCAAGAAGTAGGAGCTGCATGCAGTGACCAAGGGAACCATGAGCACGAGAAGCTTCCTTAGGGTCGGCTCTGCGTGGCGAATCCTCGACTTGTACGAGTGTTTGTATTTTTCTAGATTTATTTTAGAATTTAACGGTGTTATTTTTTAAGTTGTAGGCGACGTTTCTGTCAACAACAAGACATCTATGGTGACTTCGTCAATCTCGAGATATACCCGCACAGTCTTTCGGATGTGCTCATAAGGAGAGAGTTTACGTACGTGTGTTGGGGACGAGTGTGCGTGCATGTTAAGCGTCTGCGCGTCTTTACTTGTGTAATTAAAAAAACATCCAACGACTATTACGGTCACAAAACCAATAATATATCATTCATGTCCCGCGTGCATGTTTCCGACGTACGTAGGACGGTTGTTGCACGCAATTTTGAGATGGAGCTTATAGCATGCATGCAGCGTAGAAAGGCATGGACGTGACGGTCGACGCGTGGGCACGACCAATCGATCTCAAACTCTGTGCATGCGCACCATTTTGCGACGATTCCATAGATGCCGCATTAGCGTCGTCGCTGACGTAAGGAAGAATGCAGGGCCTCTAACAGCGGCGTTGACTTATCCATGATAGCATCGGGTTTCGTGAAAATATCGCGAACACAATGCATTGCCTTTGATCTTCTCGGTCGGCGTCGTGTACCGATTCTTTTACACCATGATTATTATTGGTTTGGTTTGTGGCTCACCTAGGCTCGCGGGGTGCAACATATCAAGTGGCCGGTTTAGTTGCCAGCATGAGTAAGGCCCTGTTCAGATCATTTTCGGATTCTTAAAAACTAGTTTTTGCCTTTAGTTTCTAAAATTTGGATTCTAAGCAAAAATTGATGGAGTGTTTGGATCTCCTAGTTTTTAAGAATCTGACTTCATTTATTACTCACTTGTCATAAGAAATTGGCAAAAACTGGGTATCAACAGCTTCTTATTTTTTAAGAATATGGCGAAAACTGACAGCAAAAATTGGCCTGTTCAAGTACTAGCCAATTTCCAAAATCCAGATTATTAAAAACTGGCAAAAACTAGAGGGTTTCGAACATGGCCTAATTGGATCCAGCTTACTAGCTGCAAAAGGTGTGTGGTTTGTTCCGCAGAAACGACAATGGTGACCATTTCCAAGACATAGAACCTTCACCGCAAACACATAGAATCACTGGGAACTTGCGGTTTCTTCGGAACGGAGGATGAAACTACTTACCAAGCACTTACACAATGCACCTTTGCGACTAAGTTATGGAACAAGTTCAAAACACTCACAGGAGTGAAGTTGCCTATGCTTTGTCCGCGAATATGGGCAAGGGACTTGCTATAGAGTTCATTTTGCAGTGAGGAGGACAGGCGCGTGATCATGTGCGGGATGTGGTCTTTATGGAGAAGTAGGAATGACCGTCAGCATGGAAAAATACCAATAAATCCAGGCAAGGCTTTGGCTTGGGCGATTGAGACCTGCTACCAGTTGATTAGTGGCAAGCAGACAGATTCACAGACAATGCTGAGGCAAGTGAAGCATTGGCAACTGCCTGGGGAGGGGACGGTGAAAATTAATGTTGATGGGGCGTACCACCATGAGTCAACAGCGGAGCAACAGGGGTGGTGATGCGCAACAGTGGTGGCGCCATGCCCGAATTTTTTATTTTTTAGTCTTTTTTTTGAAATTTTTTCACAAATACGTCCCTGGAGGTATGATTTTAAAATCTGGACCCTTAGCTCGACGCCATCGTTACTGGCGCCGAGCTTACACGTCTCGGCGCTATCGTTGCTGGCGCCGAGGTCTTAGGCTCGACGCAGACGTGACGGTAACATGGCAGGCAGCTCGACGCCGAGCTTGGCGCCGTGGTTATTGGCGCCAAGCCTATTTTACGTATGGGCCCTCCATTCCTTTCTCTCTTCCTCTCTCCCTCTCGCTCCGAACCTGCGCACCGCCGCCGCCGCCCGCCCCCGGCCACCCGCGCCCACGCCCTTCCCCGCGCTCTCACCCGTGCCCGCGGCATCCACCGCGCTAGCCACCGCACCCGGCCTCGCCCACGCCCGGCGTGCCGCCCGCGCAGGAGCCCGCCGTGCCGCCCACGACTGCGCTCGTCAACTAAACCTGCCTCTGCCTATATATACACAATGTTGGATGCATTGCTACTTACTTTCCAACTAGTATTTTCTTTCGTTGCAGTACCAATGTCTGGAGGGTCGTCCAGAGGGAGAGGAAAGGGGAAGGAAACTACCATTATGTGGGAGGATTCTCTTGGTCCCGATTTCTTTGAGGAAGCTCTTTATGAGAGGTTCCCAGTTGAGAACAAAAATGATTTCACCAAAGAGGCACCACTGAGAGGATACGATGAACGAAAAGAAGAGTGGTCAAAATGCATGCATGGTGAGGACTGCCTAGTGCAGATGTTCACCGAGAAAATAGATGGAGGTCGTCGTTTCTTCAAATGTCCACGAGCATGGGTAATTGCTATTACTATTTGTTTCTTCAATATGTTCCTCTTCTATACAACTTATATGACATACTTATTGCAGTCTTGGCCGAAGAAAACTGTGGGTTCACTAGGTGGATCGATCATCGACCTATTTATTCGCATGCGGAGTACATCTACTGTCTGCAGGACCGTATCTTCGATCTAGAAAGAGAAGTTAGCAGCGGTTACAAGGACGACGAATATGACGGCAACAACAATGGTGCCGATTCACAGGAGACACTCTGCAATGATCCATATTGCACCTGCCCCAACCACAAGAACAAGGGGCCTCCGCCGTCACCCCGGCCACCACCACCACCAACAATGGGAGGCTACTGTGGAGAAAGGTGCAACACAATTTGCTATGTGGCACACTATTAGGACGACTCTATCTTATTCACATGGCATATCCATGTGTTTGTTGTTTGGTTTAATTATCTAAGACATATTAGGTTTAGTCGAAGGAACTTTATACCCTAGTTCGGTACATGTTCTCACATGTCACTTCATGTGTTTTGTATGTTGAATTATATAATGCCCTACTTCGTTAGGTTGTGTTTACAGCACGTGATCACATTTCACTATGTCCGCAACATTATACTGAATATTATGACCATAAATAATGAAAACAATTACATAATGAAAAGTCCAATACTATGCCACATTAAATAACACAATAATATTAGAAGTATATGCCGACAGTAGACAACATTGTTCATGAATAAACCATAGAACTAGCAAGTCATGGGGACTACTGAGTGCAACGATGCCACTTTCCCTTCCTCAGGGCATCGGGATTCTTCTCTATCGCTGCTTTCACTCGGCGTGCATGCTCAAACCTCTTCTCCCTCGTCTCCCTGTACGTAGCAACACGCCTCATTTCCTCCTCTTCCTTGTGCTCCTTTTTTGCAGCCTCCTCTCCGCGTCTCTTCTCCATCATCTCCTTGTCCTCTGCCTCCCACCGCAATAGTTTCTGCATCCATTCCTTGTCTTCAGGCTTGATCTCAGTGTCGATTCACTGCTTAAAATCACAGAGCGGTGGAGGGGTCTGCAAAAAATGCAATTATTATAAAACAAAAAAAATCATGCAAGATGTCATATGACACAAACATCAATTCATCACCATCTTGTTAATGCGGCGCTGACGAAGTGTAGGCTCAAACATAAAATTAGAACACATCCAATACCTCTGCCTATACGTATCCTCTTCATCGAATTTGGCTACCCTGCAAGGATTGCCGCAAAAGCACATGGGCACTGGAACACCACTAGGCGGAGGCAATGGGTCGAAGGCATTTCCGGTCATAACTACAATTCAACCAATTTCGTTCTAAGAACCGAAAGCAATTAACATTAAACCCTAAACCTAGGGTTTCCCATTTGATGCACAACAATGAACCCATAACATAACAACATGCGCTGAGGTTACCTTGGTTTTCTAGCTTTTTCACGCTTTGGCATCATACGATTGTATAATATAAATATTAAAAATTGCATGAAACCCTAAGTAATGATGATTCTTAAGTTGAAAAATCCGACTAATATATGCCGAATCGATGCGAAAAAAATTAGAAGGGGAGCAAGGATACCTTGCTCTCGAAGATCTACGGATCAAATCAAAGTTTTCAAGGTCCAATATGTCGATTCGTGAGGTAGGGCGAAGTGGGGAGAGAAAAAACCCGAGAGGGAGGAGAAAGAAGAGGAAGAAGGCTCGGGCAGGAATGTTGGAGGCCAGGTTAAAACACCACCTCGGCGCCATAGATATTGGCGCCAAGCTCGGCGCCAGGATGTACAGCGCCAAGCTCAGCGCTAGGATCTACGGCGTCGAGCTGCCTGCCAAGTCACCGCCACGT